CCTGGTCAGAACCAGCCCACATTGGATAGTTGCTAGCTGAGATTGAACTTAGTCACTGTGACTGCTTCTGAGTAAACATTAATTGCAGTGCAGACCTACTGCAAAAAGAGAATCAGGAAACTGCCTTGTCCTCTGGCTTCCTCACTCTATTCATCCATAGCAACTTCCTATGTGTAACACTCATGGACAGTATCATGAGACCAGAACAAATCTTGGTGACACAGTGGTTTCCCCTTTAGGGTGATGTCCTGTGCTGGAAGGGAGCCTATCATTATGCCATCAAACAATCAAAAATGTTCCAATTCCTTCCAAATATTTATCAGTTATAGCACTGTCATAAGTTAAACAATTAAATGAAGAAATCTACATGCAGATACTATATATTTTGACTGTACCCAAAAGGACAGAATCTATCACAGACAAATACAGTAATACTTCTCTAACTTGAAGTTACAGATGATTCAAGTTAGAGAACAATAAAGTGAAAAATACTGATTCAGAATAATCTGTATTTTTATCTCTTTTGCATTATATAAATAATTTTTGATAGTTTGTTGCTTTAAACAGCCCATTTAATACCTTTCAGCAAAATGTTCAATGTAACTAATAGAATCAAACAGTTTTGCTGGTACATACTGTTGAGATAAAGCAAGAGGTCCTCTTCCTTTGGACTGGAACATTGTCTGCAAATAGGTGTTGGATAATAGATAAATTAACTTAAAATTTCATGGAATTCCAATAATTAGAATCACTTTCAATAGACTAAATATTAAAATTCAAGTCAGAAAAGCTGAAAGTAATGTAAATCACTATCAGGGAACCACAAAAACCTTGAACTTGGAGAAGTTTGAGTTATGGAAATTCAAGTTGAAGACATTAAATCTTTGTGCTATTCCACTGAGACCTACCAAGTGCATTTTCTTTGAGTTAAAGATAAGGAGTTAGAGAAGTTTTACTGTATATGGTACAGATCATTTCATATATCTTGGCCAGGCAATGTGCAGTACTCAGTTGGCAGTTTGGAAGTTTTATAAAATATAAGACCTTCTTTTTGGTAACACACTGTGTTCCTGTGCATTTTTTACAGCCTTATCAAGATTTGTGAAATGAGCTGTAAGTAATTTTGTTATTATGCCTAGTACATTTTCTCTGATGTGATTGTGACAGCATTGTATATGAATACAGCCTTTGCAGATGCCTTTGTGTTTGGATTTGTGATGTCATTGAATCTCTGCACTTTTTTGGAAAATTTTTCTTTCTTTTTATTTATATACCTTTTATGAATCCATTCCATCATATTTTATAGAAAAATTAGTCATAAACCACAAATTTCTTTCAAAAAACCATAAATGTTTACTTCAGTAAATAGATCTGTGATGTCACTGCTATGGACTAATCCACTGCCAAAACTACTCAGTTACTTCCATTTTGAAAATAGTAAATTAATAAAACAATTTAATTATTATGAACATGTGATCTAAATAAACTGGCTAAAACTAGGTGTTGTGATCTTACTACTTAATCAGTGTCTATTCGTCCAAAAGCTGATAATTTAGTTTATTGGTTTCAACATAAAACCTAATGGTATGTGCAAATATCCTAAAATTGTTTAGAAGTCTTATCAGTATTATTTCTCATNCTCAAACGGAAATAACACAGATGGTAGTTGCTGCGAGACGAATTGTTACCCATTTTAACCACTCTGGTATAGCACAAGAAAAGCTGAAATGCATTCACCAAGAACATAACTTGCCAAACCACCAACTAGTACAGGATGTAAGCACACGCTAGAATTCTACATATTATTTAATGGAGCGATTATTAGAACAAAAGCGAGCTGTTTCTTTGTACATAACTGATCACGAGTCTTTAAACAATTTAACACCTTCTCAGTGGGAGCTAATGGAACAATGTATCAAACTTCTCAAACCGTCTGAAGAGATTACAAAAATAACCAGCTCAGGTATTTCCTGCATCTCTGAAGTGATTCCAGAAGTTGTCATATTGTTGAAATACCTGAGAAAGGAAGAGACTGCAGACAGAACACCAAATTTATTGAGAATGAGATCTTCACTACAAGTTGAGCTTGAAACACGGTTCAACTTTGATGAGAATGACAAATATCTGGTTGCCACTTTTCTTGACCCGCGTTTCAAAACCAGTTTCCTGGGAATAGTTCAAACGCAAAGAGCAAAACAAAAAATTCTTTTAGAAGCTCTGAAAATTAGTCATGACGAGTCTACTAGTATGGATGATGATTCTTCTCCATTTCGTAAAAAAAGAAATATCAATGAAAATGATAAAACCATTGAAATACACGACAGTTTCTGGAACTGTTTTGACGAAGTCGCTACAGAAAATATGCAAAATGATGAGGATGTGGAGGAGAAAAGTGCTATTGCAAATGAGATTGATTTTTATATGAAAACTGTTCGCCTAGATCGGACGGCAGACCTTTACAAGTGGTGGTCAGCAAACGCAAAACAGTACCCAAGCCTGACAGAATTTGCTAAGATTTATCTATCGTCTCCCGGCAGTAGTGTATATAGTGAGAGGCTATTTTCAGAAGCAGGTATAGTTTATGAGGAAAAGCGCAATCGTTTGCTATCAACAAATGCTGAAAAAATTGTTTTCATTCATCACAACTTACCACTGATAGATTTTAAGTATTAAATGTAATAATTTGTGATTAAAATAAATACATTTTTGAGTAATATGTGAGTTTTTTTCCATGATTTGGTATTCGGTATTCGGCCAAATACCAAATATTAAAAAAAGTAGCCAAATAGGCCGAATACCGAATAGTAGCCGAATATTCGTGGCATCACTAAATAATATACAGCCTATGTCCACCCTGAAGTTCCATTCTAAATATTGGTGAAAGAATTTTTGAAATTGGATGAGTAGTTTCAGAGATTACCTCCTACATCCTAACTTAGAAACTTTACCTCTTTATAATATTAGTATAGATGTATACAACATATATATCTCATTGACAAAAGTCAAAGAGAAATTATAAAGCCTGGGTTTGTTAGGAGAATCTTATACCATCAGCATCATGTCACTTGACAATGACATTTCTGAACATTTTCCTTTCTTTTTTCATTAGTGAAAAATATAAGGTTTTTTTCCTGTGCAATGAGGAAAAGGAGTCCATGGGTAAAAAAAATGTTGAGAACCACTAGTCTAGATTATTCTTGACCTATATTGAGGCTTTGGACATACAGAATAGATGCTAGAGTTTAGATGTAGTTTATTCTGTCTCACTGGTGGAAACTCAAATTCCAGAATTGAGGTGCATTTACTCCATTTACTAGCTATAATGGAATAAATAAATCAATAGTATGAAAAATTACAACATTTAAAGAAAAAAAGTTCAAGGAAAGAAAAAAAATCTATAATTATACAAATAGAATTAATTTGTATAATGTATGGATTTTAAGTCACATTTTAGAATGAAAAGAAAAACATTTGAAATAAATATCACTGATATAAATATAATTAATAGTTTAATAGAAAAAAGAGTATTACATAATATGAACTGTTCTTATATACTCTTGATTCTCTAATGATCAAACAATTTGAATGGCTTACAGATAGTGCTCACAAGAGTGAGCATTAAGAATTCTTTGCTCAGTAAATGGCAGAATGCTGACTGAGCAATTAAATCTGAACAGTCTGTTCAAGAAGTGAGTAGCAGATTGGTTTGATGAGCACTAAGTTTCTGAATATACCCACTGCAAACACTTTTCCAAGGTAATATCTGGTCTTATCTAATTTTTAAAAATAACCAATCTTATAATATAATTGAGAGGGTTGATGATAATGATAATTATAAGCACAGAGCCTACGTTGAAACCATTAGTTTTTGAATACATTTGATCTATTACTTACTACATCCTAATTTTCACATATAGAACATGATATTTATGACAGAAGTATCAGTAATATGTTCTTAACAAATTATGATTTTATATCTTCAGATGAATTTGATGAAAGTTATTAAAACCTCAGTAAAGAGTTTTGGTTAGAATACATATATAAATTGGTTTTTCAAAAATTTAAATTCACAGAAATAGCAAAAATACTCAAAAAATTCAGTCTATTATATGGAAACAGGAACAAATAATAAGAAATATGACAGTATGAATGTATGTTATCTGAGTTAATAGAATATTTCATGTTATATTGTATGTTGCAAACAGAATAGGCTATATACTAAAGAACTACCAACACAAAATATAATTTGATATCATATTCAGTTTAATTTAGAACTAATAAATTCAGAATTTGATTATTTTTCAAATGAGTAAAATTTGTCATGTACTGTATAACTTATATACTTTGTCAGCATTATCAGTCAGAAAGTAAGGGTGCAACTATGAAGATGCAAATTTAGTAGTGAGCTATATAATTCTCGCAAAGGAAACCCTGCACAAGCGAGATGCGAGAAATATTGCCGGCAAGAGCAAATTTCTGGTTCTCGCACGTATCTGACAGGGTTTGATATTTATCACATCTCACTTCATACTCTCGCTCGCTTGGAAAATTCACTTGCTGGCGTCTGCATAGTCACACCCTAACAGAACATTTTCATATAATTAAAAGTAAATGAAATAATATTTTGAAATCACAATCATCAAATAATTTCTTCAGTAAAAAATAATTTCATATTAATATTTTAGAAAGAAAATGCGTTCTATACAAGTATTCAAATAACAAACAGTTCATTTAACTCTTACAACTGTTATCACGAATCAAACTATAATTTAAACATTAAAATTCGCTAATCGAACACTTGTTTCGATCTTTGTATTTCAATTAAGATACTGAATCGTATTATTAAAACCAACTGTTATTTATAATAATATCGGGAGTTTATAATATAAAAGACATATTTACATAATAAATTACTGTGGTAAATTTAACTAACGAATTAAATCATTTGTATAGAGTTAAACGAACTGACAAGGTTATTATGCAAAGACAGAGAACGTCACCTTGACTATAGAGGAGAAGCCATGATAGAGAGGCATTATCGATTTCGATAACAGGTGGCAAAACCTCGTCTTCTGAGTTTATATCCTGTTGTTCTGAAGATTCTACCGACTTGTCCGCATTCCAGCTGTTTTTAGCGATACCAAAACCCGCATTGAGCACCGCATCCATCAAGAAGACGGGCGGAACTCGTAGGATCACGTCCAACAAACTCCACACTTTGGCTCTCAGAGACATGTTTGGCTAGCGTAGTTCGTCCGGAATCCACGCCAGTCAAAAACCAAATTCGATTCCCGAAAAAATAAATATCATCTCAGATGCAAAGTCCAGCTTTTAGGCATCAAAAAATCCATAACACCACAATTTCCATTCTATGGAATGTACAGTGTGATTACAGTGCCCTCTGCTAACTTAGATATTTCTTCTCTTTTTCTAAATTCAAATAATTAAATATGTGATACAAAACAATATACAACAAAAATAATTAATAATAAATTGCGACAATTTATAATTATTTATAAAAATAATTTGATGAAATATATATATTCATTTTTGGTTCTTTCCCTGTGTTTTTTTTTAATTCTTTCCGCCCTGTGGGCACTAAGTGGCCTCTTTTAGCAAGTCCATTAAATGGATTCGGCCAGACCCACAATGGGGCGGCCGGGTGGTGAAGGATGAGGGTCAGCATATCCGGTCAGACCACCCCCTAAAAATTCTGGGGTTTTTTTCAACCCGTCCGGATTCGATTCCGGGTTTCTCAGAGCGGTAAACTGTCACCTTGACCGCTCGGCCATCCGGCCGTCTTCTCCTGTGGGTACCAAAGTCTTTTCATCATATTAATGAATTCGGTCAAGCCTACAATGGGGGCGACCGGATGATAATGAACAGAGTTCAACATATCCAGGATTTATCGCCAGTGATTGTTAATTCAAATGAAAACTTTTGACTTTTTCTTTTGTCTTTGCTTTGTAAGGTTGCCTTTTAGATGCGATAAGTGTCCTTTGAGGAAATCAAATCACTTCCAATAGGCCTAAGAAATAATTTTCACGTTGCTTGAACTCCCGAGAAGTCTCAAAATGCAGTTATAAACTTTTTTGGATGAAACTAACATAAATGTATAAATTATGGGTGTTTCACAGTCGATATTACCAAGAAGAAAGGGGCCTCAAACGCCTCAAAGAATTGTAGATTTTAGATAGTCAAAGAGTCGTCATACAATGAATTGACATGCTTGGGAAAAAATGGAGTACAGTAATACCCCGAACTTACGCGATAGGTGGGACCGAGCGGTAACCGCGTAAATCGAATTCGCGTAAGTCGGGGTATTACTGTATTCCTCATTAAGAAGTTTTCGAGAACAAGGAGGATTTGTGTTTAAATTTACTATCATTTTAAAGTTTGTAATGTTTTATTAATGTAAGTATAAAATCCTTGCGACATGCAACAGAACCGTGAAAATTTCTTAGAAGATGGATCGATAATGCTCAAATCCAAATTTTTTAATAACTCTTTTTTGTTGTTTTGCGGGATACGCCGTTTTTCTATTGTCTCTCAATTGTAGGATGCATTACTTCCCTCTTCAAGTCCAAGACAGTAGCTTTCATGGTTAATTTAGAACATTTTCTTATTATTCTTCTTCTTGCAGGTGCTAATATGGAGATTATAGCTCAAATAGGCTCTTTCTCCGATAGACTTGTGTATGATCGCTATGCGACCGATGAGCCAGCCGTACCTGAACGGCTTAATCGCGCGCGCGAGAAATAATGCCTTCCGGGAGGACTTTTATGGGGAACTGGCCTCCTATTCAGTCGTTATTGGCAAGGAGAAAACCCGAAAAACTCCAAGCAGCCAGCCTGTCCGACCGTGGCGCGAACCCACGACGAACCTCCCAGTCTTTAGGGTCTGGTCACCACTACGATGAGCGGCAACGGAGACCACTCGCCCACTGGTGGGGGTACATTCACATTTTCTTATTAGTATGGAAAATGAGTTTTACAGGCTCAGTTAACACTTTAAGGATTGATCATTCCATGCTAACTGTGCAAACCTCCACTCTCGATTACCTCCGAGTTTGTTCAAACTCCAAAATAAAGTAGCTCGTGGTCTTGAACTAAAATCTGCAAAATATTAGATCTGAACGTTTTGTGATTTCTAACGTAGAGGCCTTGATGTAGAGATTTCTTCACTCTTTTCCACCCGAATTTGTCCTCTTGTGTGTCATTCAAAAATTTTTTTCTAAAAATAATCATCAATAGGCCACTTCATCTTCAGTTATGGAGTCCTCTTGTACCTTCGGAGTGACTGTTAAACAGTCACTCTGAGGGTACAGTACAAGAGTGTTTGAAAGATTAGTCTTCTTCACGACTACATTCGTTGGCAAGAAATGACTACTGTATGGATCGACACTATTTTGATTTTTTTTAAACTTTCCGCCCTGTAACCACCAAGATGGACTTTTCTTTGTGGCTAGTCGATTCTAGATTCGTTTTTGTGAATTAGGTAACGCAATACTTAGGTAAATGCATCCGGGAGGTCTTTTAGGCTAGGCATCCGGGTAATTGACTCCTATTAGGCATTAGTGACATGGAGTGGAGTAATCCTGAAAAACTCTATGTGGCCACTCGTGCTAGCAAGGCGCGAACCCATGACTGAACTACCAGTGTTCAAGGAGTGGGAACGGAATTACTTGGCCACTGGTGAGCCTGATTCTAGGTTCGACCAGGCCCAGGATGGCAGACCCGAATGATGACAAACAAAATCCGATTTATCCGGGAAAGTACTCCCGAAAAATTCCTAGGGTTTTCGACTCATCCGGATTGGATTCCGGTCCCCCAAACCGAAAGGTCGTCATCGAAACAGTTCGGCCATTGGTCGTCCACTGTTTAAAATGATTTTTAAAAAGCTTATAGGATGGAACAGTAAATATCGTTGAGAATTTTTAGAAGGGTCTAAAAATATGTTCGATTTTTCGCATAATGTGAAAAAGACATTTAAAATAGCACAATAGAAGCCGAGTTGTTCGGCTTCTATTGTGCTATTATCCTTAACTTCTCTCTCTTCTCTCTTCTTTTTGTATAGAACAGTTAAGAACACATTTAAAATACAAAATTCTTTCAAATATTGAGTTATTTGAATCAAAAGAAAATACAGTAATATAGGCTATATACAATTTAAAATAACAAAATAATAAAATAGATAAAAGAGAAAAAGAAAAAAAAGAAAGAAAAAATCACATTCACAACATCAGTTTTATATATGGTTGAAAAGAACTTAGAGAATAAGTCATAATGTCTATAAAATAAAAAACTGATATTATGAACGTGATTTTTTTTCTTATCTCCATGTCTTCAGAGGTGGTGTTGTGACGGATCAAAGATATCGGGACAAAATCTTCAACTTATATGTTCTGAATTTGTTCTTATGGATGACAACGCCCAGCCATGTCTACCAGAGCTACTACAGTATGTGATTATCTAACGGCAGAGAGAATCCAGTGAATGTAGTGGCCAGCATATTCACCATATCTGAATACTATAGATCCAGGGTGGCCAAGCTCCTTGATAGTCCGAGCCATTTTTCAAAATTTGAAATTTTTCGCGAGCCGCAATTAAATACGTATTAAAAAGGTATGCAAAAAATTCCAGATTACAAATTATATCCGTAGCAAGAGTGATACAAATTGTTTCCTCCAGAGCACAATGTCAACTGTCCGTTGCAATGACAGTTTACAAATTCGGACGATTACGCCACTGTTTATGTTCGTTCGCGCAGTTTTCGATGAGTCATATCATTCTTAACTTGGACGGAAATGAAATTTGTTACAACGTTGCACTTAGTCTTTCATATTTGTTGTTAGTAATTTAAAAGACATTTTGAAACACATACGGAACGATAATAATTTTTTAAAATATAATAACACAAAAATGAAAAGGGAACTCGGTTACATTTATCGAGAGCCACAAATAATCCTTCAAAGAGCCGCATGTGGCCCGCGAGCTGCAGGTTGGCCACCCCTGCTATAGATCATGCATGGGATGTTCTCTGGGAGAGCTATAGTTTCTTACCAAACCCCTGCAAATACTACCCAAGAGCTCTACGTGTTCTCATACAACAGTGGAGATTACTGCTTTCCGACATCTTTGGTCGTCTGATAGTCGGCATGAATCATTGTTTATATAGCCTGCATTAGTGTAAGAGGAGGTCATATTTTTATTGAAATCATTTCTCATTTACAAGTACTGTCCACTTTTTTCATTTGTTTGAATGTCATACTATACATCTGAAAATCTTTTCCTGTATGTAATTAACAAGCAGAGTCTTATTCTATGTTACTTAAAATTTGAAATAAATTGCTGCAATAGTTTCTGATTAGTGTCTGTTTTTCACATTGATGCTTATTTTTAGGAGTAAAGTGTAAATTATCTATTTTTTTTTATAAAATCCCTTAAATATTGATGTTCTTTGAGTTTCATCTGGAATGGCTTTTGATAGTTTATTTAAACTTTACATTTTAGTATTTATATAAAAGTAATTAAATTGTTTTCATTAACAAGTAAAGCTACTATACATTAATTTATATTTTTGAAATGCTATGCAAATACCCAGATTTACTAGACATGTTAGATTAGTGAAATCTATAAAGTATGAACGATTATTTATTGTGAAATGGTCACAATGCCGGGCTGCAATTTTTAATCATATTTTTAATTTATTTCATTTAAAATATATTAAATTAATACCGTAGTGTCTTGCTTCTGTACTGTGAGTCATACTTTTCCTTTACAATTGAGTCGTGCTGGTCATCCATATAACTTCTTTCAGGGGAAAGTTTTGAATTGAAATAATATGACTTCTGCTGCAAACTGGAAGTTTGCATATAGTTAATCAGGGTGTCGTGTCCGTACGGTTTCCATATCTGGTCGTAGATTTCATCTGTCCAACATTTTCTCGAGAATAAGGAAAGACAGACAGACGACAGTGGGAATTTATAGGTCTACAATTTTTTCAAATTGCAACCCAATTATACCAATTAATTGCAAATGACTCTAATAATTTTGAGACATTACTTCTTAAATAAACTTGCATTTATGAAATAGGGAAAATATTTTCAGTATTCCTTAGACTTTGGACAAAACTAAAATATAAAACATAATGCTGTATGTGTGACTAAAGTACGCCCCTCAGCCACCTAAATTTACATTTGGTCAACTTACATTTTACAATATACATTTTACATTATACAACTTACAAATACTTTGACGACCTTTCAACAAATTTCTCGGTTATTAAATCAATACAAAATTCTTTTAATAATGGATAAATTATTACATATATTTCTTGTCTCATTAAACATTTTACCATTTAATTAATTGCAAATATATTAAAACCTTGATTAAATACAAATTATGCAAAACAAG